AGGCCAGTAATGTCAGTGTAAGAAAGAACAGATTCTGCCAAGGGTTCCACAAGTAACACAAATATCAGCAGGGACAAAAGGCATCCATTGGTAATGTTAAATGGCTGGGATAGTAAACTCAACGTCCATACATGGGCGCAGAGAGTATTATAGAGAGCACTAATAGTTGATCCAATAAACCCTGCCAGTCCAAATTTCTGTAAAACCGCTGCTAAATAACCCCAGTGCACCCGGCCAAATGCTTTCTCTACATCTAAGGAGCGTAGAAGGGAAGCAATTTTGGAAGGTCAGTGGGTCTCCTGATTCCATCAGGGGCTTGTCACCTCGCCACAAACCCCACTTGGTTAGGGTGTACCAATTTAGGGATTATCAGCAGCAAACTATTAGCTATTCATTTTGCATAGATCTTAAGATCCGTATTTAGCAGAGATATAGGGGGTGATTTACTAACCTAAACACACGCACGCACTAGGTGCGTGTGATTTTTACACAGCAAATGTATTTATCAACCAAAAAGTCTCTAAAAGCATATTTCCACTAATGCCATATATGGAAAAATCATGCACATGATGCATATATAATGCTGCTTCACAGTTTAGACAAAAATGGTTAGTGTACACACTACAAACGTGTCTAGATTCCACCAATAGACCATGCTGGGAGGGAACACACTACAGAGGTGTATACTTGTTCGTGGCGTGTTTATAAGGTTAGTAAATCAACCCCATAGAGTTATAATTTCAGGATTATGACAATAAGAGCCTCAAGTGATTCCTTAGGGAACATTGCAGATGTTGCTGCTGCATTCAAGATGCTGCATAGATGAGGTGCTAAAATAGCTCCAAAAGTCTTATATTCGGCACGGAAACTGTCAGGGCCCAGGGCTTTGTGTAACAGAAAAATATTTATTTACTTTCGAGATTTCAGTTAAGGAGAAGGGCTCTGATAAGGCAGAAAGTTGTTCAGAATAACTTTTAGGGAGATTCGGGGTGTCAAGAAATCTCTGGAAATCTGATGCTGAGGGGTTGTTAGTACGTTCGAAGTCTTTCAGATTATACAAGAAGGAGTAGAATGAGCCAAAGCAGTTAGGCATTAGGGATAGGAGTTGAGTTTGTGATAGGAATTCCATATGTCCTAAGCGCGGTTTTGGTTATTTTACTGTTTGTTGGCCCTTTCTAGAGTATGTATTTGGTCCATAATGTCCGATACCTCTTGTCTTTGCTTTTTTTTCTTGTGGGCGCTAATATTAATCAGGAGACCTCTAATGCTTTATGTGCACTCCACACCTCCACAATATCCTGAATTGAGGATGTGAAAAAAGGAAGACATTTTAAATGTAACATGTTCCCTGTAGATTAGATTAACAAAAAGGCTATCATTCAGTCACCAGACAGTAAATGGATAGGGTGCAGAATTAGCAAAGAAGTCAACTGAAACCGGGGCATGTTCAGACCATGTGACTGCACCTATATCTGCTTTAGGAATTTGTTGCAGGATGTACCTGTCTACAAGGCCCATATCAAAAAATGAATAAGAGTTTTTGGTATGTGAATAGAAGGCATAGTCCCTTTTCATGTTGTGGAGGCACCTCCATACATCATGCAAATCATGAGCAGTTAAGGAGCGTATGAAGTGTGGGTGATTTTCGCCTAGCAGTACTGGACTATCAAGTTCAGAGTCAATCATTTCATTAAAATCCCTGCAAATAATGGATTGTCCCTGATGAGATTGTTCACATTTATTCAGCAAGGGTGGATTCTGTTTGCAAAAATGTGTTTCTTGAACACAAAGAATTTCGCATTTAAGAGTGATAGCTTCTCTGCAGAGTAAGGAGCGCTTATACTGACTATTAAGTCCCTTGGCATTCAAAGAGCTAATTTTAATAGTCCTAGTGTTGTGGGAAAGGCACTGAGAGGAGCGATACATATAACAGCTCAGGAAGGGGGGTCCTTGGTGAAAAGCAAAAATTCAAATACAGGCATAAATCTTGAAGTAATACACAACAGTAAATCCATTAACTATAAAGTGAAATTATAGAACAATAGCAAAATAGTCAATACATGGATAACAGCAAAAAAAAAAACAGGTGACAGCCATCAAACAGTTAAATAGTAAACCAAAAGGAGCCAGTGTTAGTGTGCATAGCACACAGTTATCCATGAAAATGGGCATGAATCAAATCAAGCAGCATGACCGAGTCTAAAGAAAAACAACCAGGTTGCCATCTACTGGCTGGAAATTGGCATAGCAATATTAGAGTGCAATATGTGGAAGGTGATTCAAGCTTTACACCAATCATCAGATATATGTGAAGCTGAATCACTCTAAAGAGGGATTTGTGGAGAAGGAGTTTTACACCATCAGCTGGTGTCAAGATGGGAATTACTGATAAGAGACTAGCAGCTTTGTAGGGAAACCCCATCTATAGGAGATTTTCTTATCTCTTAGTACAGTAGGGAAGAGGGCAAATTCCCTGCGCTTCTGCACAGTACTTGGAGAAATGCCAGTAAACAGAAAAATGTGTGTAAGGCTCAGGGAGAGATGTCATGTTCCTTGTAACTACCAGAAGCTATTCTTTTATGTGAAAAAAACAAATCCTTGCCAGGACATCTCAGGGTACTGAGTCTGGCAGTGGCAGGTGCTTCGGTTTGTGAATCATGTGAGCTCTATCAATAAGGAGCTCATGTGGATAATGTGAAGTAAAGTTTTGAAGAACTGTTGCAAATAATTAAGTTCACTAGGACACCCCTAAAACGAATGCTGTTCCTCCTGCACCTTTCTTCCAGTTCCGCAATTTAAACAAGAATATTCTAAATTAGAGTGCATCTTTATGTGCATCAACCAGTTCACTATGCACTGTAGCATATTTCCTCTATTTACTCTCTATGCCATGAGTACGTTCCTCCATGTCTGTGACCTGAGTTTGTAGTTCAGAAAATGTAGTGTTTAAATTGGTTTGAATCTCTTTTCGGAGACACAGGAGCATCTGTTTAATGGGATGTTCAGAAGGAGGAAGGCAGGAAGGTCTGCTAATAGGGAGTGATGATCAGGGCTCTTCCTGTACCCTCTTGTGTAAGGCAGTTGATTGCGTATTACTCACTGAACCCTTTGTACATGGTGACAGCGAGGAGAACTGGCAGGTCATTATCTGAAATCCATAGCAGAGGGAGAATGAGCAGCAGCGCTTTCCTTCATATCAGAGCTGGAAAGAGGGCTCTGTGAGGACTGAGCAGCTGTTGGAAGGAGCTCATTCAAAGTCTCAGCACCATCTTGTCTCTCCCTCATCCCTGAGGGGGAGAAGAAATCTGTCAGCCTTCTGGGTCCCTTATGTTTTCCACAGCTCTAAGGCATTCCACCTGCAGTGTGTGGGTGTTAGGAGGGCTTGTAATACCGCTTTTCCCTCTATGGGGATTCTGCTGGTTTATTCCACTGCAGTGCTTGTTTAACAGCCCTAATATAGGGTTAGGCCAAACTAAAATTACCCCCCACACCTAGAGAACTCTGACTCCTGCTGTTCATATTGATCCAAAAGATCTGATGAGTCCTCCCTGAAGACACAATTGATTGGGTGAACACCTGGTGAAAGGCATTCTGCTTGCAAGCAGGTAGACAGTCTAGAAAGGTGTCTTTTTTTTAGGACTTTTTAATGGCTTCTTTAATGAGAGAGACTACTTGCTGTTTGTCTGTGTCCCTATCACTTGATACCTCCATAAACCAAGTTTCTCAAAGAGATTTGCCTGGTAAGGCAATGTTAGAGCAAGCCCAGCAACTGTCACTTATTGTCTAAGATTTTGTTGCCATCCAGCAGTGGCTTGTTGGGCTGAAACAGAAACAGACAGAGGCTGGTCTTGTCAATAGGATGACCGATGCGTCATGCTGGTAGAAATACCTATAATGCGAAGGTACACAATTAGTATAAGAATCTCACCCAAACTAAGAGGGAAAGGAGTAAAAAGAGTCTTGTAGAGAGCGTTTTACCTGTTGCCAGAGCAGCAAAAATTAATAGGCAGCCTCATAGGGGAAGACTTTCCTCTACTTTAAATAGGTGCCAAATTATCCCCATAATTTCCAGGTGAGAGCCACATAGGGCTCCCACAACACAGTCGCTGGGCAACTCAACGCCGAGCAGCATCTGTTAACCTGACTTTTGGTGATCCTAGTACTGTCCTCAATAGGGCTACGACAAAATGGCCAATGGCATCCTGCACCTGTGCAGTAGGCACCTTAATAACTGGTGGCCCAGTGTGCTAAGTGCACATCGATACTGTGCTTGTGCAACAATGGAGAGCACAGCTGTGTGTGCCCAGCAGCATGGTCCCCTCTCGCATACCTACCACTATTGCGGAAGAGTCCTGTACCCCTGGAGGTCAACAGACAGGGTTTCCTGATGGGGCTCCTTTAGATACCCAGACACAGGGACTTCATCAGAAGGAGCCACCGTTGATGGTCCACCATGAATTTACCATAGCTTAGATAGGGAAGAGTATAGAAGTCATTCTACAGACAGGAGGACCGAAAATGATCACCTTGGCAAGCGACTGAGTGGGATTTATTAAAATCCTGCCCTGTAAGGTATTCCAGGGGCAGCGACTACCCACTCATATGCTGCCACGAGAGGTCAGGAAAAAGAATCTAATAGCAGGACCAAATGGCAATAAAGCTATATTACAGGAGGACTAAGAAAACAAAACTGCTAGTTTAGTTAAGTTAGTAACAGACTGCAGCATATATGTCCATTTTTATTCTGCCTATAGTTACACTTTAAAATAACACTTTGGCTGATGTCTAGGTACTTGTCCAGGAATTAATCCCTTAAAATATTTCTTTAAATGTGCACCCTTTTGACATAAAAGACAAATTCTTAGGTTTACAATTTCTGAGAATTTAAATACATAGGCTGGAGTCTTCAGTCACAGTCTATTTTGAAACAGGAATTTAGAATATTTACATTCTGTACACTTTTTTTGTGAAGTTTTTTCCACTGAGAGTTTAAAACAAACCTTTTGGTCCAAAAAGAATCGCATAACATGGCTTATGACAGTATGGTTGGCCATCATGCTGTAGGAATAAACAAAATTAAATGAAAGTTAATATTAGATATACATTTAAATAATAAGAATAAGTTGTTAGCAAAACATTGTATATTCTTTTGTTTTTTTAGAAATGTAGTAAAAATAAGGCAGTGTAACAGGTTCATAGTTTCACATGACAGTTTTTGTAACAGTTTTTGTAAAAAGCTAGTCACACATTGGTAGGTTTATGTACAATTTTCATACTCTTCATAACATTCTATAATGTCCTCAGAGACTTGTAGAATGTTGTTTGAACTTTTGTTTGATTTCAATATTTGATTTTGGAATGAACAGTTTCTCCAACAAAAGACACACTCACTGTTAGAATTATGTTCAATCAAGAAACATTTTGGGAACTCCACTAGGGAAGTCAAAAAATGAAAAAGGATCTGGGGGTCATTGTAGACCACAGATTGAATAATAGCTTGCAATGCCAGGCTGCTGCAAACAAAGCGAGCAGAATACTGTCTTGTATTAAAAAGTGAATATCCCAGACAGCAAGCAATTGAGCTGCAAGTTTGAAAATGACTTGCTAAACTATTGCAGACTTGCCAAGCTTCACAATTTTGTTGCACAATTACAGCAAGTCTACATTGCAAGTCTCCAGACCAGCGAGCTTGCAGAGCTCTTGCTAAGACCTGCAGGACTCTTGCTGTAGACTTGCCAAGCAAATTTGCTACAAATTCAAAAAGTGTCAACTAGAACTTGTGCTGCGAGTGTTCTGCAAGTCTACAACTTGCCAGGAATATGTGCAGCAAGTTAACGAAAATTACAATTTCACCCTGCCACAAGTTTGTAGTAAGTTATCCTTGCTATCTGGGATACTGTAGAGACAAATCTATCATTTTGCCACTTTATAGATTGCTGGTTCGGCCTCATCTGGAGTATGCGGTCCAGTTTTGGTCACCAATCCACAGAAAGGATGTCCTTGAGCTGGAGAGAGTCCAGAGGAGGGCAACTAAGCTAATTAAGGGGATGGAGGACCAAAGCTATGAGACAAGGTTACTAAATTTAAACATGTTCACGCTGGAAGTGAGGAGATTAAGGGGGGACATGCTTTTTATGTACAAGATGTTCAATGGTGATAGCAACATCAGCAATAAACTTTTTACGGTAAACTCCATAACAAAGACTAGAGGCAACCACCTAAAATTGGTGGAGAAAAGATTTAACCACAAGAAGCATAGGGGCTTCTTCTCAGTTAGAGCGGTTAGGATCTGGAAGTCAGTGCCACAAGCAGTGGTATCAGCTGAGAGTGTTGAATCATTCAAAAAGCCTTTGGACAATTTCCTCGGAGACCATAACATACAGGGGCACAGGTACCCGTAAAAAATAAAAAAAAAACAAGATCACACAAGGACTCATATACATGCAGATTTTCACACATAGACGCAATAGGTTGACCTTGATGGACCTGTGTCTTTTTGAACCTCAAATACTATGAAACTATGTTTTCTATACTGCTCCTTCAATATTTGTCTCCACTACAGTTAAAAATAATTGTTGGTTTGACCCCTTAACTTTTACCAAATCAAACAAACATTCTGAAAACTAATTTTAAAAAAAATGCTACTGGAGTATGGCCAGCTTTACAGTATGATAAACTTGCAATCAGCAAACACAATCTGGCCCATTGATTAATCAGTACAAGCAGTGATGTCATTAGTATAGTAGAGGCCTGGACCTAGGCGTGCGAGTGTGAATACTGTTGGTGGCTGGATACTGGAAATATTGCTACAACTTTGGAGGCATAGGGTTTGTACTAAAGAAGGTAATTAAATGTAATCTAAGGTAATGTATGAGATATTTTTGGAAAGGGATTAAGGCAGGGCTGGAGAAATTCCAGGAGCCAGGTAGCCAATGCTACTTAAAAATTACAGCTGGTGCCCAACTTTTGAGGTTTCCTCTAGTTGTTGCCAATGGAGCTGGCTCCTAAAAAGGTCCTTCTGGCTCCTTGTTTAGAAAGACTGGCTCATTATTAATTTGTCCATCCATGAGTTAAGGGGTAATGCTAGATTGGTTTTAGGTAGAGCATATGACATTGCGAAAATTAAAGACAAGAAAGAGTATTACATGATTATTTAGTGATAAATATAGGCATTATAAAATAGAAAGCAGTGTCATATTCTCTACAGAACATGGCTTGGAATACAATAAAGCAATGAGCTGGATGAGCACCCAGCAGTTTTCTTGGGCAAGAGTGGACCAACCTGAAGCTGTATTTCCTATGTTTATATGTTCAAGGATCTAGTTATTGATTTACCAGCTCAGTGTGTGTTCCACACTGCTAAGAAAGTATTTACATCATATTCTTTTATAAAACAGTCAAATAAAGTCTTGTCAGTGGATGTAAAATTGAATAAATAGTATACTATGGAAAAGAGTAGTACACAGGATTGCTTCAATAGATCCTTAAGAACTTTGATTTGACAACCCCTTAAGAGTTAATGCTGGTAGTATGCTGCATGAGCTGTGGATGAAAGTGTGAGAAACCTAACATTGTTGTTCTGTAAGCTTGAGAAGTGATTGGTAAAGGAAATTGAAACATACTGGGATGCTAATATTTTGGCTAATTATTTGACACTTGAATGCCTCCCAAGGGTTTGAATAAAAAAAATGGCTCTCTGTATTTTAATAAGTTGATGATCAGTTAAAGTGACATTAAACCTCCAGGTTTTTTTTAATTGTTTCTATTTCTGGGGCCCAGAATTATCTTCAAAAACTTTTTTTATTTTTATATTCTCTAGTGGTATCCAAACTGGCACCCCCCCACCCTCGTATGGGTGTCTCCATCAGCTAGTCGGCTGCTGTGGTACTCTTGGCCATGCCTGCACCTAGCTATGTGCGTCCATAGACACACACAGTGTGCGTCTGGCCACGCCCGCACCCTTGCAGTCACAGTTTGACTGACGGCAGAAGGGGCCCTTTGGCTCCTCTGACCTCAGTACCCTCCCCCACAACCAGGAAGTTCGGGGGAACCCCTAGCATCTTCCTGGTCGTGGCGGAGGATACTATCAGCTGCAGATAAGTGTGGGGGGGAACAGGGGTTTTAGAAAAGTATTGGGTGTTTTTTGCTTTAATGCAGAGAATGCATTAAGGTAAAAAAACACCCAGCCTTTAGTACAGACACTCAGCTTTAATATACAGTACATGACTGATAAAGTAAATGCAAATGTACATTATAGTAGTTAAAGGACAACTATGAGGTGAGTGATTTCCACTCACCTCATAGTTCTAGCCGACCTGTGACAATGAGACTGTCACAGGTCGGCTCAGTAGATCGGGAGGTGAGCGAACAGATACCGGCGTTCGCTCACCTCTCGATCCTGTCACGGCTCTCTGCCGTGACAGGGGAGGGGCTGGATTCCCCGCTCCGATCTGCCAGCGCTGACTGGCGGAACGGACAGGGGAGGGCCCGGGTACAGCTGGCTCGGCCTTTAGATAGGCAGAGCCAGCTGTCAGTCACGCAGCTGGGCGGATCCCGGCACAATTGTCGGGATCCGCTTCAGCTGCGGCGTCTCAGTATACTGCGAGCAGCTGCTCGCGCTATGCTGCGGCGTCTCAGTAAACCGCGAGCTACAGCGGTATACTGAGCCTAGGGTGACAGGAGGACGCTAGTTTGCGTCCTCCCGTTACGCTAAGGAGAACTATGGGGAAAAGACTTAACCCCATAGTTCTCCTTTAATACTGGCTGACTGACCAAGTCCGAGCGGTCGTTAAACAGGTAGGTTGTTATGTGAGGAGTAGCTGTACTACTTTATAGAAGAAGTGGACTGAAACTTCATCCACGTATTCGATTAAAGTGCTAAGACTATGGAATTGGATAAGCTTTAGAAAGAATTACAACAAAAAAATTACATCTTGAAAGATGAACTCCAGGTAGAAACAAATAATTTACATACATTTATCAATAGCCCCAAAGAATATAAATGCACCCGATGCCTTTGCAAATCCAGATATTCCCTTCTAAAAGTAGCTGTGACGTCATTACTGTGCTGCACTGAGCTGTGGGAGGGGCCCAGTAGGCCCCACCCACTTGAGGCTGCCTGCAGAAAATTACAACAGGGTGCAGATACAAAATTAATCTGCACAAGGAGAGAGCAGTAATATCTGAGCAGAGGCAACGTTTCACACTGGATTACTGCACAGATAAGCACACCAAGTTCATGTAAGAATACAAATGCCCCTTGTAGTTAGACAATATTTTCTTAACCCGGAGATCAGCTTTAAAAGAGATAACTGGGTTGTGAGCTTTAGATACACAGCTGAATAATAAATTAGAC